GACGTTGGTGACCTCCCAGCCCGTCCCATTGAAGACCAAGAGGGCGGCTTGCAACACCCCATGGATGGTGGCGAAGACCCTCTGGTCTATCCCCCAGTCATGCTCCACCTCAGTGGTCTCCTCCAAGGTGACAGCTTTCCGCACGCCTTGGCAGCCCTCGTTCCTCACCGTGGTCTTCGTCAGGGTGACGTCCTCTCCGCGCTCCGCTGCCCCGCTCATGTTGTAGCAGACGTCGGAGATGGTGACATCCGCCAGGCCCTTCTTCACCACCAAGACTTGGTACCACTTGTACCAAACTTCCTCACTATCCACCACAATGAAGGCAGCCCTCTGGTCTTTGGAGACCTTGCCCAAGCCGTAGTCATTCCTCCCAACGAAGACATCAGTGGACGGACAGACCTCCACGGCATTTTTGGGTACGCTGCCAAAGGAGCCGTCCATCCAATCCAGCGCCTCAAAGCCTCCCACGTTGACCAACACCTTGAAGTCGTTGGCCTTCCACTCCCGTTCTCCAAACGGGAAGAAGCAGAAGGGACCTCGGATGGGGACGTAGGCACCGGCGTTGCAGCCGAACATCCGCGTTGAGCAGACGTACTCCATCCTCTTGGCGTAGCCATTCCAGTTGGAGACAGCATCGGCAGGCAGCTTGCCTTCAAAAGCCACCCACTTCAGGTATGAGGCTGGCTCCTCGTCTCGCTTCCTCCGGAGAAAGCTCCAGCTGGCGGCTACGGGGAGAAAATGGGGGATTTTGGTGAAATGAGATGCCTCCACATCCTGCCCCACCGGCTCAAAGCTGCGGGAGCATTGTCCTGCAGACACCCAGCCCGTCGAGGAAGCTACCGGCACGCCATGGCCCACCCTTACCCCAGCACGGACAGCCAACAAAACGAGAAGTAAGACATCTCAACCAACCCTTCTTAAATTTTGAGAGGCAAAATGGGGGGCAATTCTGCAAAAAAAATCAGAAAAGCAGAGACCTTCATGCATTGGAAGACAGAGGGATGGATGAGCTCATGTACTGGGTTCACATGGCAAAGTTTTGGGTGGGGGGGAGCTGCAGCAGTGACCTCTGTGACAAAAGTCATTGGGCTGCCCCACATTGGACACGGTTGGGTCCAGCTGGCTTCAAAATGGAACCACCGCTGGCCAAAGCTGAGCCCATCAGTGATGCTGGTGGTGCCTCTGCGATAACGTATTTAAGAAAGGCTAAAAAACGCTGCGAGAGAGAAAGATGAGAAAATGTGAGAGAAGCAACCCTGCAGACGCCAAAGTCGGTGAAGAAGGAGGGCGAGGAGGTGCTCCAGGTACCCGAGAAGAGGTTTCCCCTACAGCTCATGGAGAGCCCATGCTGGAGCAGGTTGAACCTGAAGGACTCCAACCCATGGAGAAGCCATGTAGGAGCAGGTTCATCCTGAAGGACTCCAACCCATGGAGAACCCATGTAGGAGCAGGTTCATCCTGAAGGACTCCAGCCCATGGAGAGCCCACGCTGGAGCAGGTTGAACCTGAAGGACTCCAACCCATGGGAAGGCCCCACGTTGGAGCAACTCATGAAGGACTTGATCCCATAGTTGTTACGACCCAACTACAGCCCCCACTCCCCTACGCCACTCAGGGTGGGGAGAAGAAGGTAGAAGAGTCAGGAGTGAAGCTGAGGTTGGGAAGAGGCTGCGGGAGAAGGTGTGTCTAGTTTTGTCTCTTTCTCACCATCCTATTTTAAATTTCAAAAAAATTTAATTAATCTCCTCCAAGCCAAGTCTGTATTGCCCACAGTGGTAACGGGTGCGTCATCTCCCTGACTTTCATCTCGACCCACGAGCTTTTTTGTCTTTTCTCCCCGTTCTGCCCAAGGAAGAGGAGAGAGCGGCTGGGTGGCCGTCTGCCAGTCAGCCAAGGTCAACTCACCAGAGAACAAGACTCACCTGGGGGCTGCTGAGGTCTCCTTCCCATCACTCCCACCGGTGGGGTTTCGGCAGCTCCGTCAGCACCGCTGCTTCCTTCGCTGAGGAAGAGGAGGGGGGCAGCGAGGAAAAGACGTGGGGAAGGAGGGG